ATGCTGGACTCGAAGAACAATTTCATTCGCAACTACCTGAGCGTCTCTCTGACGGAGCAGCATATGGCCACCCTGGCCAGCATCATCAAAGAAGTGGACAAGGATGGGCTTAAAGGTCAGGAAGGCGGGAGGGGTTGTTCTGACCAAGGCTTCCTGAGACCATAATTATGCTTATGCCAAACAAGTCTTGTTTTATTTCAACACTGGGAATTGTGTGCATTCCCAGCCCGTAATGAGTCCCAAACAGTCCCTCGAGATAAGCACCCACCTTTCTCGCCTTTGAATTGCTGCCAACAACTAGAGTGCCAAATGAACTGTAAAAAAACAACCGAAGTACAAAGTCCACACAGAGCTTCAAGGTTGAATCCGAACAGAGTGAACGACTTTGCTTCCTGCAAAGGTTTCTCTACCTTTGCACTTCCCTTATACCTTAGGGGAGGGCCAATCACCTCCAAGCCTTATTCCCGAGTCGCCCCTGTTGTCTTGGCTGCTCTTGCCATCTGGCAGCTCTGCACACACGCACCCTGGGAACAGGCTCCCCTGGTTCCTCTGCCTCGCTGCTACCAGACTCTGGAGGCTCCGGAAGCAGCGCGCAACTCCCGGATGGTCCTGGCCCCATCTCTGCATCAGGCACAGGACCTTGTCCGAATCCTCCCCAGACTCCTAGGCTGGTCCCCGTTCTTCCCCACTGTCCGATTCCGCTGCCATCTGCACAGGCTGCCGGCGAACCACCATAGGGGTCTCCCTCGCCCCCAACCTGCAGATTGAGCCCTCAAGAGATGTGGGGACTGGGAAAATCCACTTGGGGCAAGTCAAGCCCAGCTCTGTGGCCCCCAATCGGGCTCTCCAGCCTAGATAATCGATTCCTGCCGTGTTTCCCTGAAAGAGACCCCGAAAGAGAAATATAAGACCCTGTCTTATATTTTTGGGGGCTATCGAAAAAAGGCACCGGGTCTTATTTTCAGGGAGGATGTCACCCACCGACTCATCTCACTTGCACGCGCTGCCCTCCTTTTCACCTCCGCCTTCAGGAACGTCTCCTGCAGCCGGCAAGGCCAGCAAGCCTCGATCCGGAGCTGTGTTATCGGCTACAGAGGCCTTCAGGAAAGCCTTGCCGGCTGCAGAAGAAACGGGCCAAGGTCTGCGAGGCCTGGCTGCAACTGTAGTAGGGCAGCTCCACACCCCCTGCCTCCATCCCCACCCTAGCTTAATTTTAACCCGTGCATCCTGGGGCGGGTGGGGTGTGTGTCTTAATTAGGGCTTATTCCGTGGGTAGGGCTTATATTGGGCATAAAGGTAAAAAATCAAGCTAGGACTTACTTTCAGAGTAGGTCATATTTTCGGGGGTATTTAGTTTTTGGAAGGCGAAATCCGACAGGTCATCTAGTCCAGGGGGTCTCCAGCCTTGGTGACTTTAAGACTTGTGGACTTCAATTCTGGGAGTTGAAGTCCACAAGTCTTAAAAGTTGCTACCGTTGGAGACAATACCTGTAAGAGCCAGGGTTTTGTCAGGTTAGAGGACAGCTCAATGGCTGAGGCATCTAAGGCAAGTTTCCACCTCCCGGAGTTTGGCAGTTGTTGAACTGGATGGAAAACTAAACTCCTGGAGGTGGAACTGGAGGCCAGTGGTGGTGGGGGAGGTAGCCTCCCTCACTGGGCCTCCTCCTCACCTTAGAAGGGACACGCGGAAAGATCCTGCCCTGCCCTGGAGTTCTTGGGACGAGGTGGGGTCAGGAGGCTCTGGCCTCACCTGGTGACCCTGTGCTCCTGCAGGGACCTCCGAAGAGGAAGAGTTTGCGGCTGCGCTGTACCATTTCAACCACTCCTTGGTGACCTCTGACCTCCAGTCTCCAACCTTGCAGGTGAGTCTGGCTTTCTGGCCAGGGAGGAGCTGCTGGTTCAACTGCAAATTGTTAGGAGCAATAATGAGGAAATCTCCCGTCGCGTTCTCATGTCGAGAACAAGCTTCTCCGTGTCTGTGTTCAAAGGCCAGGTGTGTTTGGGCATTTCCCTGCATTTAAACTGGGCCAGCAATCCGGTGTTAAGTCTGTGTAGTTAAGCCCCTGGTGCTCTCGGTAGTTTTCTGGCTGACGTTTCGTGACCCAAACTCGGTAACGTCATCAGTGTTAGAAGGAAGTGGGGTTTGCACAGAGGAGGGTGGGGAGGAGGACTGTGGGGTCCTTGGTGCCCTCTGAACTTGGTGGTTTTCTGGCAGACATTTCATGACCCAAACCAGGCATCAGTGCTAGAAAAGATAATATATAAACAGCAAATTGCATCCTTTCTTAACACTGATGACGTTACCTAGTTGAGTCATGAAACGTCTGCAAGGAAACAAACCAAGCTCAGAGGGCACCATTTCAGTATCCTCCCTTATGGTAGTTACACAAGGGTGTGGTGTGGTGGCCTAGAGGTGGAGCTCTCGCCTCACAATCAGGAGGCTGTGAGTTCGATCCTAGGTAGAGAGGCAGATATTTCTCCGGGCACATACATATTCTATATCTGCTGAACAAAACTCCGCATTGGTGACAGGAAGGGCATCCGGCCATTAAAAAACACTGCTAGCTCCATTCAGTTGCTCAGACTCCACCCTGCAAGAGTGATGATGATGATGATTGTAGCTAAATAAGGTTCAAATAGTTATAGGAGGCTTCCCTTTTTTTTAAAAAAAAAGAAGTGTATCGCTTGCAACTGACAGAGCTGCTCCCCTTCAACACACGCGGTGGTTGTCTTTTGCCAGAACATTCTCCTGCAGCAGCTGGGGGTGTCTCCTTTTTCCGAAGGGCCGTGGCCTCTCTACATCCACCCCCAGAGCTTGTCGGTGCTCTCCCGTTTCCTCCTCATCTGGCAGCATAAAGCCAGCACCCAGATGGACCCGGATGTCCCAGAGTGTCTGAATGTGTGGGAGAGGTAGGAGAAAGTCCCGGGGAGGCGCTGGAGTCGCGGCTTTGGCACGGGGCACCCAAATTCAGAAGGTTTTCAGTCCAGTGGCGATGTGTAATTGTTGCACCGTTTTATGTAAAATGGTATCCCCGTTGCTCAGATAACGAGAAGGTGTAAGGGCTGCCTTTTACTGAATGTATGTTTCTTTCCTTCTTCTTTCCTTCCTTCCTTCTTTTCCTCCCTCCCTCCCCCTCTTTCCTCCCTTCTTCCCTCCCTCCTCCCTTCTTCTCATTCCTTCCTTTCTCTCTCCCCTTTTCCTTCCTTCTTCTCATCCCTTCCTCCCTCTCCCTTTTTTCATTCCTTCCTCCCTCTCCCCTTTGCTCCTTCTTTCCTTTCTCCCTCCCTCCCTCCCTCCCTGAATTTCTCTGTCTCCTCCCTCCCTACTGCTTCTTCTCATTCCTCCCTCCCTCTCCTTTTTCTCATTTCTTCCTTTCTCCCTCTCTTCCCTTCCTTCCTTCCTTCCTTCTTTCCTTCCTTCCTTCCTTCCTTCCTTTCTCCTTCCCTCCCTCCCTCCCTCCTTCCCTCCCTGACAGGTTTGTGGGCACTTTGAAGCAAAACGCCCTGCAGGGGATTCTCCCCGGCGACGCAGAGGACCTCAACGTGGAGCACCTCCAGCTCCTGCTGCTCATATTCCACAGCTTCTCCGAAAAAGGCCGGCGGACCATCCTGACCCTCTGTGTCCAGACCATCCTGGACATTACAGCCAACCTGGACTCTCAGCTCCGATGCGTCCCTCTCCTGCTAGCCCGCCTTCTCTTGGTCTTCGACTACCTGCTTCACCAATACTCAAAGGCCCCCATGTATTTATTTGAGCAGGTGGGTTGCAAAGGCAGTAGAGGAGGGGGAGGCGCCTGACTCAATGCGTCGGCTTGTCAATTGAGATTTTCTTTTTGGGGGGGGGGGGGGGGGGTCAGTCCATCCTTTGAATGCTCTCTTAGGTGCCTAGAGATGTCTTGAGCAATGAAATAATCCCCGCAGGCCCCGAAGATCAGACTGAAAAATGTGGTTTATTGGCTTGTCCCTGGTTTACTTTTATCCTCGGCTGTGCCAAAACAGGTCCCAAAGTGAGCCAATGTTACAAAAACTTCTTTGCTTTTCTCTCTCCCCCTCCCTCTCTTGTTCTCTTTTTCTTTCTCTTTCTCCCTCTCTTTCCCTCTCTCTTTCTCTTCCTCCCTCCCTCTCTCTTTTTCTTACTGTCTTTCTTTCCCTCCCTTTCTCTTTCTCTCTCTCTCTCTTTCTTTTCCTCTCTCTTTCTCTGTCACTCGCTCCCCCCCTCCCCCTCCTTCCCCCCCCCCCCCCCCCCCTCTTTTTGGACCAGGAGCTGTTCAGATAAACCACAGTCAGTTTAGAAAAGCCAAGTTTTGTTTTTTTCTTCTGACCCTCATGGCAGAAGCAGATTCTTTTGGAATTACCCCGGTGCCCCATATTTCACTTTCTGTCGCCTCTTTGTGTTCTCTAGGTCCAGTACAACCTCTTAACTCCTCCCATCGTTTGGGCCAGCGCGAGCCAGGAGGGCAGCCGGACGGTCTGTTCCCCACTTTATCACGGCTTCAAGGAAGTGGAAGAAAACTGGGCCAAGCACTCTCCCTCTGGTACGGAAGGGGGAAAACCTTAGGATTGGGCCCCTGAAACACCTTGGAGGTCTCTCTCCAGAGCCTGAAGGGCAGGCAGGCAGCCGGATCCCTTAGGATGCTCTCCCTTTTTTGAGACTCCTGGAGAACTCGGGGGTAGAATTTAGCTCCCACCTAGCCCTTTGGGAGGGTGAAGTTCCTAGCCCAAGGTATCCAGGAAGGAGCAGTCTGGGCAGGGGTGTGTGTGTGTGTGTGTGTGTGTGTGTGTACACATTCCTTTTGGAAATTTAAAACCTCAAACACGGCTTCCTCTTTCTCAGACACCTCCCCCCAGCCGCGCTTCTACTGCATCCTCTCCCCGGAAGCATCGGAAGACGACTTGAATCGCCTCGATAGCACGGTAACAGGACTCTTCCTTTAAAACTCTCGCTTTCCTCTCTTCTGATCACACACACACGCACACACACACGCCCCATGCATTCTCCGGGAAAGGTTTGAGGTAGGGTTGGTCCCTGGAAAGGCTGCAAGGAGGTTGGCTAGTTCCAGAGGTGGCTCTTCAGCTGGTCCTGACCGGTTCTGGAGAACCGGTAGCGGGAAATTTTGAGTCGTTCGGAGAGCCGGCCAATCCCGCCTCTGACTGGCCCTGCCAACCCCATCTCTTCTCTGCCTCCCATCGACTCCCAGCTGATCGGCTGGGTCTCCTTTGGTTGCCCTACGCAGCAGAACAGAGCTGGAAAGCAGGTTAGTGGGGTAGGGAGGCAGTGGGGATTTTGCAGTATATCCTCCCCTGCCATGCCCACCGAGCCACGCCCACCAAGCCACGCCCACAGAACCAGTAGTAAAAAAATTTGAATACTACCACTGGCTGGTTCACACTGAGGGTCTTCTTCAGGGGAAAGGCCATTGCAGAGCAGATCGGACTCTCTGGAGCAGGGGTCACCAAACCCCTGTCTGTGGACCGGCACCAGGCCACGGCATGCCAGAAACCGATCCGCGCAAACAAGCGAAGTCTCATCCGTGGGATGCAGGCGGCACGTGAAACCACGCCCACCCTCCTCCGGCCTGTGGAAAAACAACTGTCCACGGAACCGGTCCCTGGCGCCCAAAAGGCTGGGGGGGGGGGCGCAGCTCTAGAGTTTTCCTGTGGGAAGATCAGATTAGGGAGGTGCGTGCAGTCCCTGGTGGTGCCAAATTTGGACCAGGTACCATGCGCTAGGCTGGGAAATTGTCCTGGACTGCCGCTCGAACTCACGCCTCTGCCTTCTCCTTCTCCTCCTCCAGAATTCGGGCCTTTGATAACTGACATGTATTTATAATCGTCCCAGCCTTCTAGGGTCACCTGATCACAAATTTGTAACCTTTCCCAGCCAGCATCCAACCAGCAAAGTCAATAGGGGAAGCTGGATTTGTTTAATAACCGCACAATTCACTTAACAACCGCGGTGATTCTCTTAACAACTGGGGGCCAAAAAACAGCAACCACCCCTCAACAGCCACTTTTCTTAACAGTGGGAATTTGGGGCTCCGTTAGGTTTGTAAGCCGAGGTTGTTCAGCGCTTGCCACACGGCCAGCGTTTAATCCACGATATCTCTGCTTCCACCACCAGAGAGAGTGGTGCGGTGGCCTAGAGGCGGCGCTCTCGCCTCACAATCAGAAGTCTGTGGGTTCGATCCTAGGTAGAGGCAGATATTTCTCTCTCCGGGCACAATGAGGATGTATCTGCTGAACAAAACCCCACGCTGGTGACAGGAAAGGCATCCGGCCATTAAAACACTGCTAGCTCCATTCAATTACCCAGACTCCACCCTGAAGGAATTATGGGATGGTTAAAAGATGATGATGATCTCTGCTTCCAGAGGCCCCCACCTCCCCACCAAGCTAGAGCTCTGTGTTTCTCTGGCAAGCTGCCTCTCCATTTCTCCTCCCAGTGAAGAGAGAGAGAGAGAGAGAGAGGGACAGTCTGGTTTGTTCAGAGTTGAACGGAACCTGGGTCAGCAAAGGGGAAGAACAATGCCTGAGCCAGTTCAGGAGGTGGCGCTCTCCTTTCAGGTGTGCGAGGTCTTGTTCTCCAAGGCCATGAAATACGACGAGCTCTACTCTGCCCTGGCCTCGCTGCTGGCTGCCGGCTCCCAGTTTGACACCCTCCGCCGGAAGGAGAACAAAAATGTCACCGCCTTGGTGAGGACAACAACTCCATTGGGGGCCTCCTCGTGGGGCAGGGGGAGCATCTTTGGCCTCGGGGCCCCAGTGTCGGAAGGACCGGCTGACCCAGGTGGCTTGGCTTTGTCTCTCTCGGGCAGGAGGCCTGCGGGCTTCAGTACTACTTCCTGATCCTCTGGCGGGTCCTCGGCCTCCTTCCCCCGTCCAAGAGCTACATGAACCAGCTGGCCGTGAACAGCCCGGAGATGCGGGAATGTGACATCCTCCACACCCTGCGCTGGTCGTCCCGCCTCCACATCTCCTCCTACGTCAACTGGATCAAGGTAAGTATTCCTCTGGGCGGGGTGGGTCGCGAAAATACTTGTGGTTCACCGGCAGCCTATGCAAACGGCAGCGGAATCGGCCAGTGGGGAAGAACAGGGACTAGTCTGGGAGTTTGGGGAGGATTCGGACAAGGGTCCTGCGTCGGATGCAGAGGTGGGGCCAGGACCATCTGGGAGTTGTGCGCTGATTCTGGAGCCTCCAGAGTCTGGCAGCAGCGAGGCAGAGGAGCAAAGGGAGCCTGTTCCCAGCGTGCATGTGCACAGAGCTGCTAGAAGGCAAGAACAGCTGAGACAAAAGGGGCGACTCGGGAGTAAGGCTGGGAGGTGATCGGCCCTCCCCTAAGGTATAAAGGAAAGGAAGATGTGAAGGAACCTTTGCAGGAAGTTATTCGCTCGGTTGGTTTTTTATAGTTCATTTGTCACTTTAGTTGTTGGCAGCAATTCAAAGGAGAGAAAGGTGGGTGCTTATCTTGAGGGATTGTTTGGGACTCATTACCGGCTGGGAATGCACATAATTCCCAGTGTTGAAATAAAACGAGTTATTTGGACTAAGCGTGTGCTTAATTACAGTCTTAGCAAGCCTTGGCCAGAACAATACCAGTAGTTTTTGACTTAACAACAGTTCGTTTAATGAAAAGGGACCCAGCACCATTTTCCATCCTTATGACCATTGCAGCATCCCCACGGTCACGAGATTGACATGCTTTGGAGGTGCTTCTCCACCAACTCACATTTATGACAGTGTAGTCTCCTTTTGCGACTGTCTTGGCGAGCCAAGCCAACGTGGAAGGCAGATTCGCTTCACAACCGTGCTTCTAATTTAGCAACCGCAGCAATTCGCTTAACAAACGCTGCGAGCAAAGTTGTAAAAGTGGGGCAGGACTCACTTAACGAATTTCTCCCTTGGCAACATGTAAATTCTGGGCTCAATCGTGGTCATAAGTCGAGGACTATCTGTATGTCCAGGTGTAAAAAGGCTATATTGGTAAATCAAGTGACAGGCTGGGTTGAGATGATTTTTCTCCAGGTGGGACTCCCAGAGTGAGTTTTACCAGAACGTGGTTCCTGGCACCCCACCATTCTTCTTCCTTTCGGCCCATCTTCTCTTTTCATTTAAATCAGGGGTCGCCAACCTTTTGGACCTCAGGGACCACCAAACTCATCATTTTAAATCCCGCGGACCAGAGACCCTGGGAACACCCCCCCCCTCCCAAAAAAAAAGTCTGCAGGAAAATTTTCCACCCTGTTTTCTTACCGATTGATCATTCTTTATTTGGGATCGCAGGATACTGTCTCCAGCTCCGTTCTCAGGGAGACAGAGACAGAGAGAGACTTTTAGTTTCATGCAAGGAAAGCAGCAGAAGCAGCCGAAGTCTTTCTTTCTCTCCCCCAAACTCCACCAGAAATGAGTCTTTGTGAGACTTGTCCCGCCAGCGCAGCCTCTTGGAGCAGGAGGCCATGCAGGGTCCCAAAGACTCATTTCTGTCGGAGTTTGGGGGAGAGAAAGAAAGACTTTGGCTGCTTTCCTTGCGTGCAGCCAAAAGCAGAAGAAGAGAGAAGCAGAAAGTAGCAGCCCGGTGGCCAGGTGAGGTGTGTGGGGCAAGTCCCGTCCCCCGCCCTTCTCCCCTCCCCTCACTACCTCGTGTTGTTCGCAATGCAAGCAACGCAAGCCTTGTGTTCCCACGCAGCCTGGATTAATTGCTTTGGGGGGGACATTTCTCTGCGGACCACCAAAATTTTCTCGTAGGCCACCAGTGGTCCCTGGCCCACCAGTTGGTGAACGCTGATTTAATTTTTTTAAAAAAAAAAATCTACTTTTTCTTGGGACTTCCCCCTTAGGACCACCTCATCAAACAAGGGATGAAATCCGAGCACGCCTCTTCCCTGGTCGAGGTGACTTCGGCCAAATGCAGCTCTGTCAAGTACGACGTGGAGATCGCAGAGGAGTATTTCGCCAGGCAGGTGCGTTCAGGCCCCGGGAGTTGTGGAATAATAAGACACTCGAATAACAACGTTTCCGCCTCCTTGTTTCTTTATTGAGGGGGTGGCCTCGGCCATTGCCGGTAATACAACATTATGCCTTCTAATTTAGGTAGAAAAAGCAGGATTTCATCTAAATAGAGCCATGGTGGTGCAGTGGTTAGAACGCAGGACTGTGGGACTAACTCACAGCTCCTTCCAAGAGTTTGATTCTGACCAGCTCAAGCCTGACTCAGCCTTACGTCCTTCTGAGGACGGTAAAATGTGGACCTAGATTGTTGGGAGCAAGAGGCTGACTCTCTAAACCGCTTAGGGGTGTAAAAGCAACTGTGAAGTGGTTTATAAATCTAAGTGCTATCGCTATTTTCCTCCCTCCCTCCCAGTGGTTAGAATGTGCTATTGCAGGCAAACTCTGGCCACTGCCAGCAGTTCAATTCTGACCGGCTCAAGGCTGACTCAGCCTTCCACCCTTATGAGGTCAGTAAAATGAGGACCCACATTGTTGGGGGCAAAAGGCTGACTCTCTAAACTGCTTGGACACGGGTGTAAAAGCAACTGTGAAGTGGTATATAAGTCTCAGGGCTATTGTTATTTTCCTTCCCTCCCTCCCTCCCTGTGGTTAAAATGTGGTATTGCAGGCAAACTCTGGTTACTGCCAGCAATTTAATTCTGGGCTGTGGCTGTGCTGGCTGGGGAATTCTGGAAGTTGAAGTCGACCCCTCTTCAAGGTGCCAAGGTTGGGAAAACCCTGCTCTAAGAACTGAGTTGGAACAGAGCAAGGGATCCAATCCCACCTTAGCCCCAAGGGGAACAATCCTGTCCTCTTCCCTCCTAAGATCTCCTCTTTCTGCGGGATTGACTGCACCACCATCCTCCAGCTGCACGAGATCCCCAGCTTGCAGTCCATCTACACCCTGGACGCGGCCATCTCCAAAGTCCAGGTCTCCCTGGACGAGCACTTCTCCAAGCTGGCTGCCGAAACTGACCCCCACAAGTCCTCGGAGATCACCAAGAACCTGCTGCCAGCTGCCTTGCAGCTGATCGATACCTACGCCACCTTCACCAGGTAGCTGGGACTCTCTTCACCCCTTCACCCTGGCTGTGGCAGTCTTCTACCTGGCAGGATGTGGTGGAGTCCCAACGGCTTCTCTCTCTCTCTCTCTCTCTCTCTCTCTCTCTCTCTCTCTCTCCCTCTCTCCCTCTCTCCCTCTCTCCCTCTCTCCCTCTCTCCCTCTCCGCAGATCTTACCTGCTTCAGAGCCTTTGCGAGGACAGCTCGGCCGAGACCAAACCCACCGAAGAGAAGCTGCAAGGATACGCGGCCGTACTGGCCATTGGCTCCAGTCGCTGCAAATCCAACACTCTGGGTAAGTCACTTTCTGGCTAAAGTTGTTCAGTTTTTAATTTTAAAAAAAGTAGTATTCATTACATTTGCATATCCTCCTGCTTCTTCATGACGCAAAAGGATTATTAAGCCAGAATAAGCGACAGATAGATCTCAACTTACCACCACAATTAAGCCCGAAATGTATGCTGCTAAGTAAAAAAAAATTGTTAAGTGAATTTTGTCCCGTTTTACGACTTTCCTCGCCTTGCAGTGGTCCTAAAGGTAAGTGGGGTAAGATATCCCCCCAAAATAAGACCTGGTTCTTATTTTGGGGCCCCAAAGAAAACAAGACAGGGTCTTATTTTGGGGGAAACACCGTAACTTAATCAACTGCAGTGATTTCCCTTAACAAGAGTGGCAAGACAGGTTACAAAATGGGATGAAGCTCACTTAACAATTGCCTCGCTTAGCAACAGAAATTTTGGGGGCTCAGTTGCGGTCGTAAACCAGGGACCTACCTGCAGCTGGGAAGTGGCAGCATATCTTAGCTTTAGCCTTTCAGCTGAGCGGATTAGCTGGATCTGAGTTTGGCAGCCTGGGTGCCCTGCCGTTGGTTTGGTTTGCAGTCCAGCTTTGGTTCCGGGAAGACAGTCACGGGCCCAGCTCTTGAGGGGAAAGGAAACAAGAGATCCCTTGGAGCTGGGAGCTCCAAACTTGGCAACTTTGAGACTGTTGTGGTTCGCCGGCAGCAGGTGCGGACGGCTGAGGTCTCGGAAAGCGAGGACTCAGACGAGGGGCCTGCGTGGGATGCAGGGGTGGGACCAGGACCATCAGGGAGTGGAGATTGTGGAGGCTGGCAGCAGTGAGGAAGAGGCCCCTGAGGAGCCTGTGCTCAATGCGCATGCACACAGGGCTGCTCAAAGGAAAGGGCAGCTGCAGCAGCACGGGCGACTCGGGAGTAAGGCTGCAAGGTGATGGCCCCTCCCTCAAGAGGTAAAAGCCAGCTGAGAAACCGGAGTTCTTTGCAGGAAGCAAAGAAGTTTTTGCACTCAAGCCTTGTGGACGTTTGGAATATCTTGGTTGGTGTTTGAAGTCTTTTTGTTTCAAATATTTCTTGGCAACTTTAGTGTTCTTGTCAGCCTCGCACCACCTTGGCAAGGCTCCTTCTTATCAGAAACAATTAGTTTTAATAACCTTTTCATGGTGAATTAACGGAATTCGCAGAGAAGCATGAAAAGTTTTTGCTTTTATCTCTGTTTGGTGTTTGTTTCATTGGAACAAGGTTTGGGTCAGAACAGGGACTTGTGGATTTCAACTCCCATGGCTGGTTGAGGAATTCTGGGAGTTGAAGCCCACAAAAGTCTCAAAGTTGCCAAGTTTGGAGACCTCTCTCTGCCTTGGAGGGTCTCAGGATCGATGATCCCAATGGTGCTCAGTTGAGTGGCACTAAACCTCTTCCAACGTCCTGGTGGGTAGGAGCGAGCCACGCCCAACCTCTCTTGTCTCCCAGGTGCCGGTGTCCCATTTTTGTCTTGGGGGGTGTGTGTTTGTGTCCATTGGGGCTGGAATTGGCAGCCGGTCAAGCTCCAGCTTTCCTGACGGGTGGGTCTTTCGTTTTCTCGCTCGGCAGGGCCGGTTCTGATTCAGAATTTGCCATCAGCCGTCCAGTCGCTGTGCGAATCCTGGAACAGCATTCACACCAACGAATTCCCCAACATTGGGTCTTGGGTGAGTCTGCCTTTTAAAAAGCCCTCTTTCGTTGATGGGTGGAAGTGGAAGTGGTAGGTGGGCCTAGTCTTATTTTTTCTCCCTCCTCTTCCCGGGCTGGTCTTGCCCTCCCATGGTGGACCATCTCGTTGGCTTCTTCTCTTCTGCCTTGCGGTCATTCGGCGGCTCAAATGTGTTTCTGTCTGGGAATTGGTCTCTTTTGTGCTTTTCTCTCCTGCTCTCTGGGTGGCTGCTGGGAACGAGAACGTAAATTAAAAAACGAGAACGTAAATTATAAATGATTATATTGTAAAGTATTTGCAATGAGACAATTATATTATGTTTAAAAAGGTGATGAATGAAAGTTAAATTAAATTCCATGGCAACATTTGGCTAAATGGAAACAAAGAGGAAATATGAAATGGTTATATGAATATATCTGGAAGAAATGTAAGATTCATTGTAGATTGTATGGATCCTGAATGGGGAAAAAAAGAAACACATGCCTATTAGTAAAGAGGGAATTATTGTTGTTAATAGTAAATAGGGAATTGTTGTTGGAAGGTAATAATTAAGAATGATTATATCGATGTTCGTTTTATTTTATTTTTGTTTTTTGTTTGCTATACATTGGCTTCGAGAAAGTAAAAGAAGAAAATATGAAAAATAAAATAGGTGGTGAGCTGGAAATGAAAATAATAGAGGATAAAGAGTGGAAAATACGTTTTGAGACGAAAATGTTTTTTGTTTACTGGATTAATGAATGGAAAATAAGAAGTGAAAATTTATTAAAAGATTAATGGGATAGATAATGATTTGATACAAAACTAGATAAGAAAGCTGGAAATGTAACCGTGAATATATATGTATGTTGTAACCTGGAATCCCATTGCTCACTTGAAGAGATGTATAAAAAAAAAATTTTAAATTAAAAAAAAAAGAAAAATGAGAACGTGACCCCTCTGTCTGTCTGTCTTTACAGCGCAATGCCTTTGCCAATGACACCATCCCGTCCGAGAGCTACATCAGTGCCGTTCAGGCCGCCCACTTGGGCACCCTGTGCAGCCAGAGCCTCCCCTTGGCAGCCTCGTTGAAGCACACCCTCCTCTCCTTGGTCAGGCTCACTGGAGATCTTGTGGTGTAAGTCTTGGCCAGCTCCTTTCCCCACTCCCCCCCTGGAACCTTTGCTCACGTGGGCGGGGGTGGAGGAAAAGGTGATGTTGCCAAGAGTCTTTCTCTCAGAAAACGTTTGCCTCTCCTCTCTGGCTCCAGCTGGTCCGATGACCTGAACCCGCCCCAGGTGATCCGCACGCTGCTGCCTCTCCTGCTGGAGACAAGCACCGAGAGCGTGGCCGAGGTGAGCAGCAATTCCCTGGAGAGGATCCTGGGCCCAGCAGAATCGGACGAGTTCCTCTCGCGGGTCTACGAGAAGCTGATCATGGGCTGCTACAACATCCTGGCCAACCACTCCGACCCAAACAGGTGAGCGCTCCCTTTGCTTTCCCCCCCACTGTTCTGACCCAGCTCCCCAAACACGACAAACCCTCCGACGTGAATTCAAAAGATTCCTTTATTAGGAATGCCTGCGGTCCCGGCAAAAAAGTTTTATCTTGCAGGCTAACAAGTCCAGGCGGCCAGAAGACGAATAAATTGTCTGCCGCACCTGTTTGTCTCTGCCCCTTTGCCTTTTCATCCCCAGAGCTAGGGCTCCACTCTGGTTAGCAGTGGCTCTTCCATCCCAAGGACCGGCCCATAGATTTCCACTGCTCTCCTCTCCTCTGCCTTCTGTGTATCTGCACGTCAGGCGCTGGACCCAGCTGTTCCTCCTCTTCCTCATCAGCCTCCTCCAGACCTGGGGGCTGTGGACTCTCCATCTGAGGGCTGACGGACAGCCCAGGCTCTGCCTCCCCCCCCCTCCCTCTCTCTCTCTCTCTCTCTCCCAGCTCCATTTCCTTTCGGAGCTCCCAGGTTGCCCTGATGATGACCCCGACTCCCACGCCGCCTCCTCCTCCTCCTCCTCTGATTCAGCTGCTGGAGGGGCCGGAGGCCGACAGACCACAACATCCACCTGAATGTCTGTGGAGATTCTCACGTCAGGGCTCTGACAAATCCACCCCCATTCAAATCATAAGTCTCTAGCCACAGAGTAAAAAAATTGATTTATTAGTAGTGACCATGTCGGTGTTACCTGGGTGCAGCCGACACTTAAGATACGTCATTAATTTCCCCCTTGACCTTGGTCTTTCCCCCAATGGGACACGCCCATAGGCAAGAGTCACCCATCGTGTTCTCCAGTAATAATCTTGCGTGCCAACATCTTTGGCTGCCTAGCAATTATCTGAAGCATTCCAGGAATGCACTGCTTTCCCCCACTCCCTTTCTGGTGGCAACTAAAATGACCAAAGAAGTACTTTTTAGTTGACCTCTCAGTACCTCCAGGTCATAGTTGTCCCAAAGGTGCTTTTTTCAAGAGGCCGCTGCACTTTTCTGGTTTCTCTTTGAAGACGTTTCGCTTCTCATCCAAGAAGGGATGAAGCTTCTTGGATGAGAAGCAAAATTTCCTCAGAGAAAAACCAGAAAGCTTCCCACCTGAAAGCGACTTCAGATCAAGGTTATTCCAGCTCTCGGTTTACTCTCAACTTCCCGGAGAAACGTTCCCCAAGAACATACTCTGTCCTTTGTCTCTTAGTGGCCTCGACGAAGCCATCTTGGAGGAATGTCTGCAACATCTGGAGAAACAGCTGGAGAGCAGCCAGGCCCGGAAAGCCATGGAGGATTTCTTTGCGGAAAGGTGAGTTGCAGGCAGTCCTCGAGGTTACGACCACAATTTGAGCCCCCAAATTTATGCGGCTAAGGGTGAGACCTTTGATAAGTGAGCTTTGCCCCGTTTTATGACCATTCTCACCTCCATTGTTACGTGAATCACTGCTGTCGATAAGTTAGTCACCCGGTCGTTAAAGTGAATCTGGCTTCCCCCTTTAATTTTGCTGATTAGAAGGGTCACATGATCTTGAGACACGTCATAAGCCTGAACCAATGGCCAAGCATCTGAATTTTGATCCTGTGACCGAGGGGATGGTGCAAAAGTCATAACTGTGAAAAACGGTCATAAGTCGTTTTTTTAATACCATTGTAACTTCGAATGTTCACTAAATGAACTGTTCTAAGTCGAGAACTGCCTGTTCTTGTTTTTCCTGCTTTATCAGCGCTTCTGAAATGTTTCCAGCATTGGTTTTTTTTTAATCACCGTCTTTATATAGTGCAGGGGTGTCCCAACCATGGCCACTTTAAGACCTGTGGACTTCAATTCCCAGAACCCCCCCAGCCAGCATAGGATTCTGGGAGTTGAAGTCCACAAGTCTTAAAGTGGCCAAGTTTGGACACCTATGGCATAAGTGCATCTTTTAAATGGATTTACTCCGCTTTGGGGGCAGTTTAGAAATTATAGTAGCTTGAGGATACAATATTGAGCTAAAAGACTGGGGAAAAATTTGGAACAAAAACTATACATTAACAAAATCTGCTGCATATATTACCTTGTAAGCAATTGACAGATCAAATAAATAAATAAATAAAATAAATATAAAGAAAACCAATATAAGATGTTTTATTGTTGGCATTTAGCCCCAATAAGACTTGCAAAAATGTATCCAAATTTAAACCCTAATTGTTAGATATGTAAATAGGTGCAAGGTACCTTTTTCCATGTATGGTGTCTTTGACCAGAAATTAAAAAATACTGGATCAAAATACAAAAGCGGTTAATTGAAATTGCACATTGCTGAATAGAATTGAAACCAGAATTGTTTCTATTGGGGATTATTAAGGGAAAGTACCCTAAAAAGATTAAATATTTGATTTTACACATTACCCACAGCAGCGAGAATTGCACTCGCACAGTCTTGGAAAATGGCCACTATATACCGACCAATTGTTTATTGATCCAAAAACTTTTCAGAAATGGATAAACTCACTATAGAATTAAACAATGAAGGAGACTCAGAATATTACTCAATTTGGGATGACTGGTATCAATGGATAGATAGTAGGAATATGAAATGTATAGATCAGAACAAGTTACAAATGTTTATATGTATATGATTAATTAGAAATGTATGAAAACGTATGTAGATTTGTAGTACTGTCAAAAAATGATGGAGAATTATACAAACTTATTTTTTTAGATTTATTTGTATTTTAATGTTTCAATTTTCAATAAAGGTTTTAATTTAAAAAAAAAAAAAGAAATTATAGTAGCTTCAGGACCTGTTCCTGTTGCTCCTCCCCTCTGGGAAGAGGTTCCAAAATATTTCCAGCAGGATTTCTCGATTCTGTAATGGCTTTATTCCCTGAGCAAAGTTGCAAGATTCATTTTTACGCATCTGAACTAGACTGTATTGTTTCTCTATGACATAGAATATAAGCGGCTATGCGGGTATATATGCATAATACTTATGTATTTGTTGATTTAGTCATGTTTATGTAGTGCATATTGTAGGTGGTGACCCTTTGAGAGCTGTAGGCGAGGAAATTTCATTTTAATGTATGCCGATCAGAGTCCATTCAAAGTGACAATAAAGTTATTCCAAGTCTCTTAAGGGATGGGGAAATCTTGTCTTTGAACCCCCATCTTCACGAGTGACAGGGCAGGTAGCCGGAGAAGGCGGATCTCGCAAGGCCAGAACCCCTTCTCACGTCTTCTTTGCCTCCGGGCGTTTCCTCCCATCCAGTGGGGAGCTAGTCCAGATCATGATGGCGACTGCCAACGAGAACCTCTCGGCCAAGTTCTGCAACCGGGTTCTGAAATTCTTCACCAAGCTCTTCCAGCTAAGTGAGTGCTAGGTACCCATAAGGCAGGGGGGTGTCAAACTCAAATTGTATTGAGGGCAGCGTCAGGGCTGTGATTGACATGGGGGGGGGGCCCAACATGGTGGGTGTGGCCAACTGGGTGGGCATGGCCAGCTTGACGCCACTCCCCAAACTGCTGGCCCAGTGTTTCCTCTTTGTGTTGAGTAGACTGGGCTGAAGCCAGGTGGGCCGGCACCTTACATTTTCTCGGACAGCCCTGCGGGTCGGATCTGACCACATTGCAGGCCAGATCCGTCCCGCAGGCCTTGTGTTTGACATTCCTGGCATAAAGGGTTCCGCCTGGCAGGGGAACAGGGTGTGTCAGCAGCTAAATAAACAGCCCCTGGCAGATTTGCACTGTCCTTTGCATGGCAAAGCTTTGGGCCCATGTAGGAAATGATCTTCTCCCTCCAAAAATACAGGGGGTGGGTTTTTAGAAAAATATATAAACTGAATTTGGTCTTTCCTGAACGAGACAGCCTCGGAAGCCGCTCTCTAGCCATGTCTGACTCTCCCCCCGCTCTCTCCCCCGTTTAGCTGAGAAGAGCCCAAACTCCAGCCTTCTGCGCTTGTGTGGCTCCTTGGCGCAGCTGGCGTGCGTGGAGCCTGCCCGCCTCCAGGCCTGGCTGACCCGTATGACCACCTCTCCCCCGAAGGAGTCCGACCAGCTGGAGATGGTGCAGGAGAACAGGCAGCTGCTCCAACTCCTGACCACCTACATCGTGCGGGAGAACAGGTGTGAATGGGCCCAGGCTCCCCGGGGGCTCCAAGTTTAGTTTTAGTTTAGTTTAGCTTCACTTCGCTTGGCTTCGCTTCGTTTCATTTCGTTTATTGTCATTGCACCTCGTACAGCGAAATTAAATACCATCTTCAGTGTACATTATGACTTTGAAAATAAACACATCCTTTGCATTCTGTATATTGAATTGAAAACCCCCTGATATTGCAAGGGGGAGGGTGTTGTGGCCTGTCGGCTGCTTGCCCCTCCAGCAGCCGAATCGGAGGAGGAGGAAACGTGGGAGTCAGGGACAGCATCAGGGCAACCTGAGAGCTCCGAGGGGGAAGAGGGAATGGAGCTGGCAAAGAGAGAGAAAGAGAGACAGAGGCAGAAACTGGGCTGTCCGTCAGCCCTCAGATGGAGAGTCAACAGCCCCCAGGTCTGGAGGAGGCTGATGAGGAAGAGGAGGAACAGCTCTGCCCAGTGCCTGATGCATAGATGCACAGAAGGCAGAGGAGAGGAGAGCAGTGGAAATCTATGAGCCGGTCCTTGGGACAGAAGAGCCGCCGCTGCTAGCGAAGCCCCATCCTAGCTCTGGGGATAAAAGGCAGGGGACGGAGATGCAAAGATTGTGGTAGACAACTATTCATCTCCCTGCCGGACAGACTCGTTAGCCTGCGGTGAGAGAGAAACTGTTTGCCGGGGCTGCCGACGCTCCTAATTAAAGGAATCTTTGAGTTCACGTCAGAGGGTTTGTGGTGTTTGGGGAGCTGGGCCAGAACAGTTGGGACTGCAGAGCCCACCTTTGCTTAGTTGGGATGCCACCGTTAAAATGTGCCCCCTTGGCCGCTTCCCTGAGGTGTCTTACCTCCTTTTCCCTACTCCAGCCAAGTCGGCGAGGGAGCCTGCACCGTCCTCCTGAGCACCCTCATCCCCATGGCTACCGAGATGCTGGCAAACGGAGATGGGACCGGCTTCCCAGAGCTTATGGTGGTCATGGCGACCCTGGCCGGGGCCGGACAAGGCGCCGGTCACCTCCAGCTGCACAGCGCAGCGCTGGACTGGCTGGGGAGATGGTAAGAGGTGCCAGGAGAGCGGCTGACCAGAACGTGGCTGCCCTGCTGATGTTACTTGAGTGAGGGGGGGCAGCTGGGATTGGGGGGGGTGGGGGGGTGGGCTTCCTCCCAGCTGGGAACTCTGCCCGAGGGAGAGGAGGGGTCTTGTGGTGCTCCAGCTCCTCAGAAGGGACAGCTCCTTGGGGAAAGTCCCGGTTCAGGTCCTGGGGCTTCAGATGTGGGATGGAGCCTCGTGTCCCCCTTCAAGCCTCTTTTCTCTCCTTTCTCAGCAAGAAATATTTGTCTCAGAAGAACGTGATTGAGAAAATGAACGCCAGCGTCATGCACGGCAAGGTAAGGGTCCTCTAGACCGGGGGGTCGCCAACCTTTTGGACCTCAGGGACCTCCAAACTCATAATCTTAAATCTCTCTCTCTCTCTCATCTCTCTCTTTCTTCCCCCCTCCCCCCGTCTGTGGGCGTGGGGGGGAAAGGAACTTCTGAACTGGTGCTCGATGGTGAGAATCGGATGTCTGGAGGCCGACGAGCCATGTGCTGAAGACCAGGTGGCTGGCAGGGAGGTGGGGCAGCGGGTGATACCGGCGGCGGATGGACTGAGGCACGCAGGAGATCGCGGCATCGGAGCCCTTCCCGGGTGTTCCTTGGCCTGCGAGGGGGTGGGGGGGAAAGGAACCTCTGAACTGGTGTTGCCTCCTGCCTCCCTCGCTGGCAGCCGCCAAGCCGCCTCCTCCTCACTGGGCGTGTGAGCGCTTCTAGCAAGGAGGAAGCACTCGGCAGCTGCCAGAGGGGCGGCGAGCGCTTTGCGGCTCCTGGAGAGGAGGGTTCGAGTCTCCCCTTTGCAGCACCTTCACCTGAGGGCGTCGCTGGCAGCCGCTCGGCCTCCTCGATGCGCGTAGGCAGCACACAACATCAGTTCAGAGGTTCCTTTTCTCCCCACCCCCTCACAGGCCAGGGGACACCCGGGAAGGGCTCCGATGCTGCGATCTCCTGCGCACCTCCCTCCCTCCCCACGAGCATCAGTCCATCCGCCACCGGTATTGTTGCAGACATGGGTGCGCTGCAGACCACCACAACTTTCTCATGGATCACCAGTGGTCCAGGGACCACAAGTTGGCCACCTCTGCTCTAGAATGCAACATCTTGGCAAGTGATCTTGTCATGCCCCTGTTGGAGACTGACTCCAAGGAAGAGCCGACAGGGAGTGGGAGTGTGGCTCCGGAGGTTGTGGAGGAGGCTGGGGAAGGGTAGAGGCCGGCTGGGCAGAACCAGGAAGAACCAGGCCCGTCCCCTCTTCATTCTAGGGCACGCAGGGAGGAGAGGATAAGGGAGAGATGGGAATGGCGTGGTCTACAGGGGAGGAAAGGGCCTTGATGCTCTTCATGGGCTGCAGCTGTGAGAACTGGTGAAAAGGGCAGACATGCGTATGGGCCAGTGCTGGAAACAAAGCGGGGAAATATCTCTAGTCTGTTGTTCCTCTCTGAGTTTGGCATCCTTCCCAGTGTGTGTTCCGATATCTGTGGACGTCTTCAAGCCCTTGCCTGGTTCCCTTAATTGCTTCAGTGTGGTTTGTGTTGTTTTTATTCTTTATAATTTATAGGCATTTTTAGTTTAACCGGCATTTCCTCCTTTTCGTAACTGTTTGTGGGGGAGTTTTTTGTCTCCAGTCAAGGATATTTGGAGCTTTGAATCAAAGTGAAGGAATAAAAAGGGGCTTCACCTGTTTTGTATCCCACCCTGGGTCATCACAGATCTTTGTATCCCCCAGTCTGGTTTCTTTTTCAAAGGATGGGCTTGGCTTTCAGTCTGTCCTCAGGCAACATTTACAGGTAGTCCTCGACTTAACAACCATTCATTTAGTGACCGTTCGAACGTGACAACGCCACTGAAAAAGTAACTCAGGACTGTTTTTCGCACTTAGGCGAAAAACATGCCGCATCCCCGCGGCCATGGGATCGAAATTCGGACCCTGGACAACTTGACTCGTATTTATGACGAGTCCCAGGGTCACGTGATCCCCCTTTGACTTCTGACGAGCAAAGTCAATGGGGAAGTCGGATTCACTTAACAAACAGGTTGCTGACTTTAACTGCAGTGATTCACTTAACAATTGTGATAATGAAGGCCATAAAATGGGGGCAAAACTCACTTAGCCACTGTCTTGCTTTACAGCAGAAATTTGGTCCTAAGTCGAGTGGTGCGGTGGCCTAGAGGTGGAGCTCTCGCCTCACAATCAGGAGGTTGTGAGTTCGATCCTAGGTAGAGGCAGATATTTTTCTCTCTGGGCACAGTGAGAATATTATCTACTGAACAAAACTCCACACTGATGACAGGAAGGGAATCTGGCCAGTAAACACTCAGCTCCATTCAGTTGCCACTCAAATTTGGGGGTCCATTGTGGAATGGAAATGAGTGGTGCGGTGGCCTAGAGGTGGAGCTTTCGCCTCACAATCAAGAGGCTGTGAGTTCGATCCTAGGTAGAGGCAGATATTTTTCTCTCTGAGCACAATCAGAATATTATCTGCTGAACAAAACTCCACATTGGCGACAGGAAGGGAATCTGGCCAGTAAACACTCAGCTCCATTCAGTTGCCCAAGACTCCACCCTGCAAGGGATTATGGGATCGTTAGAAGAAGATAATCGTGATCCTAAATCAAGGACTTAACCTAAACTCCCCTTGCCTGCCCGCTGGTCTTTCTGCGTTTGTTAGGAAAGGCAGGTAAAGTCCCTTCCCTTCTCTTGCAGCACGTGACCATCCTGGAGTGCACCTGCCACATCGTCTCTTACCTGGCTGACGTCACCAACGCCCTGAGCCAGAGCAACAGCCAGGGCACCTGCCACCTCTCGGTTGACGGAGAAGAGCGGGCCATCGAAGTGGACTCGGACTGGGTGGAGGAACTGGCTGTGGAGGAGGAAGACTCGCAGGCCGAAGACTCGGTAAGCGGGACAGGAAACCCAGCAAGCTGGACCATTAAGTATCTTTTATTGTTTAAGAATACAGAATACAAAAATGCCAAAGAAAATAGCAGGAAAGATAGGGAAGGGTGTAGAAAAAAAAGAAAGAAAGGGCATTGGCTTCCTTTCCCTTCGGTGCCGTAGAATAAGAGAATAACATCAAAGCTCAACTTTTTTATTTTTACATAGTAATATAAACCAGACATTTTTATAATAACAAATCTATCTCATCGGTTAAAACCCAAAATCAAAGTTTCATTCCCCCCGCACCTCCAGCAGCGGTTTCCAATCAGCAGCAAAAGTAAATTCTGTCCTTTTCTTCAATCCAAGCCATCAGTTTAGCCACCTCTGCCAACTCCATCAGCTTTTGCAGCCCTTCGACCATTTTGGGAATCAAAGCTTCCTTCCATTTTTGGGCGTGAAGTTAATCTTGCTGCCCTCAACATGTATAGCTTCAAAGTTCCAAGCATTTTTTCCAAGTCTTTTTCCATTAAACCCAAGAAAAAAAAGGCTTCTGGTTTTTGTCTTTATGAATCACTTTGACAATCTTCTGCATCAGGATGTGCAACCTACTCCAATATTTCTTGGCTTTGTCCCATGTCCACCCTAAGTGATAAAAGGTCTCCTCTTTCTGCATCTCTAGCGTCCACTATATTTATTGCTGACTTAGCTGCAGGGATTCATTTAGTAACGGTGGCAAGGAAGGTCATAAAATGGGGGCAAACTCACTCACAAATGTCTCCCTTAACAGCAGAAAGGGTACCAGTTGTGAGTAGTAGGTGTTGAAGGAAGCCATCCTGGGCAAGTCTTCACAAAAGCTGTTTCCTTCTGTGCACAATACAGGACGAAGATTCTCTCTGCAACAAACTTTGTACCTTTACCATCACGCAGAAGGAATTCATGAACCAGCACTGGTAAACTTCCCCTGCTGCTTAACCAGGGGTCCCCAACCCTGCGGGATGCCAGAAACCAGGGGTCCCCAACCCTGCGGTCCACGGCATGCCAGAAACCAGCCCGCACAAACAAGCCAAGCCCCATCCGTGGGATGCTGGCTGCATGGCAAACCACGCTCCCTCCCTCCAGGCGGCGGAAAAATTTCCCTCCGTCAGTGGAAAAACTGGTCCCTGATGCCCCCAATATGATGGGGGCTGCTGGTCTAACCGACCCAGGTGTGTCTTTTTGTCTGCTTTATCACAAAGCACTCATTTATCCTTTCCCTCCCCCACCCCCCCATCCCCGGCCTGCTCTCTGTTCCTACCTTGGCAGGTATCACTGCCACACCTGTAAGATGGTGGACGGTGTTGGTGTGTGCACCGTCTGCGCCAAGGTTTGCCACAAGGACCACGAGATTTCATACGCGAAATACGGATCGTTCTTTTGTGACTGCGGAGCCAAGGAAGACGGCAGCTGCCTGGTAGGTTCTAGGTCTGAAATCCAGATGGTAAGGGGGTGGGTGGGACAGGAGCTCTGGACAAGGCCAGTTGGGGTTATCCCGCTTCCTGCCAAACGGCCGAGGTCCCTGCACGGTGTTTGTCCCCCTCCAGGCCCTAGGGACGCGGTGGCTCAGTGGCTACGACGCTGAGCTAGTCGAACGAAAGGTCAGCAGTTCAGCAGTTCGAGTCCCTAGCGCCACGTAACGGAGTGAGCTCCCATCCCTTGTCTCAGTTTCTGCCAACCTAGCAGTTCGAAAGCATGTAAAAAAATGCAAGTAGAAAAATAAGAACCAAGTTGGATACAAGAAATAGTGGAAGATCAGATAAGAGTTTATACTGGAGTTGTTTTTGTTGGGAATAATTAAAGGGAAATATAGGAAAAAGGTTAAATATATTTTACTACATAAATTGACAGCAACAAGGATAGCATTCACACAATGCTGGAAGCTAAATAATACACCCTCAGAGGAATTAGTAATTCAAAAATTTTTTAGATTGTGCTGAAATGGATAAACTGATGTTAAAGGATAAAGACGAGTCGGAGCATTACAAAATTTGGACAATTGGTATAAATGGTTGAACAATAGAAATAAGGATAACGGAGATAAGAAAATTACAGATAAATGTACGTGAATATATAGTAGATATTTATATGAGATTGGTTTATATAATAATGATGGCACAGTACTGTTAATATTACAGTTAAGATGTGTAAAAGGTGAAAAAGGACAATAAAAACTATTGGGGGAAAAAGAAAAGAAAAATAGGGACCCCTTTGGTGGGAAGATAAGAGCATTCCGTGCGCCTTCGGCGTTTAGTCCTGCCGGCCACATGACCACGGAGGCGTCTTCGGACAGCGCTGGCTCTTCGGCTTTGTAGCGGAGATGAGCACCGCCCCCTAGAGCCGAAAACGACTAGCACGGATGTGCCAGGGGAACCTTTACCTTGACCTTTTAGGCCCTGGTGAAGAGGACCCCCAGCAGTGGCATGAGCTCCACCATGAAGGAGTCGGCCTTCCAAAGCGAGCCTCGCGTCTCAGAGAGTGTCCGCCATTCCAGCACCTCGCCCACCGACAAAACCAAGTCCTCCGCCAGCGATGGCCGAGGGGGTGACGAAGACAAGCCCAAGAAGAGCAACCTCTGCAGGAACGTGGAAGGATGTCGGGAGCAGCTGCAGGCCCAGGTTTGGCATCATGCGGGCGAGGGAGGCAATCGGGGCGCCAGGGACCTCTCCCTAGTGAGGGGAAGGCTTCTCAGCCCCTCCCTCTCCTTGCCTCCCCCAAGGCCAACTTCTCCTTTGCCTCTTTGGTCCTCGACCTGCTCAACTTCCTGATGGAGGCCATCCAGATCAACTTCCAGCAAGCCTCGGCCATGGGCAGCAGCAGCCGCGCCCAGCAGGCGCTCAACCAGCTGCATACCTTGGACAAGACGGTTGAAATGACCGACCAGCTGATGGTGAGGACAGCAGCAAGACTCCCAGCACAGGTTGGGAGAGTGGGGGGGTCAGCTTCCAGAAAAAGCCCCCTCTCAACTCATAAAACATTCCTATGCCTGTTTTAGTAGTTGCCATAAGAAAAGGGAGGGGTGGGGAGAGGAAGGAAATCTGGAAGAGCAGTGCAGCAGTTTGGAAGCGGAAGTACATTCCAACTCTTATCTTTAAAGGATTGTAACTAAACTACCAGAGCTTTTGCCCGCGAATATATTTAATTGGAGAAGGGGATTGATGACACCCAGCCCGTGAAGGTGCTCAATTGGAGAATCTGGTTTATGAGACACCCAGGCGGGAGGGGGGGAAACAGGGTCACAGAGGACTGTAAATGACATAGGCCAGAGTTGGCTTCGTACAGGGCAGGGCCAGTATGTCGCCTCTAATGAATCCTTTGAAGGTTTTTTGAAGTTTGGCTCGAGAATCAGGATTTAATTAGGGTGATTGCTGGAATCCTGACAGCAAGCCAACTCTGGCGTACATAATTTACAGTCACCTGTGACCTTGTTTCCCCCCTTCATGCCGTCCTTCAGAGCCAAGCCTCTCGTCTCGACTCAGATCCTGGCAGTGGCATCCTTCAGAAGTCAATGCTCCGGGCTAATATTGTCCCATAAGATTCCAGGTTAATATTCCAGGCTGTGTCCCTTTCCTGCTTTCCCCTGCCCTCCAGGTGCCGACTCTGGGCTCCCAGGAAGGCGCCTTTGAGAACGTCCGGATGAACTACAGCGGGGACCAAGGCCAGACAATCCGGCAGCTGATCAGCGCCCACGTCCTGCGGCGGGTGGCCATGTGCGTGCTTTCCTCGCCTCACGGACGGCGGCAACACCTGGCAGTCAGCCACGAAAAGGGCAAGGTGAGATATGGAGGAGGATCTGCCCCCCCAGAAGCAGGTGAAGGGCCTCCGTAGAATCTAAAACCTCTGGCGATCTCCCGCATAGAAGGTCAAATAGATTTCTGATTCAGTAGTTTAACCCAGAGGGGGCTATTAACCAGTGCCAAGTCCGTAATAGCAATAGCACTTAGACTTGGATGGAAGGCTGAGTCAACCTTGAGCCAGTCAGGATCAAATTGCTGGCTATGGAGCAGAGTTAGCTTGCAATACTGCATTCTAACCACTGGGAGGGAGGGAGGGAGGGAAGGAAAGGAAGGAAGGAAGGAAGGAAGGAAGGAAGGAAGGAAGG